CTTTCCCTGTGGCAGGCGAAGCCCGTCTGAAGAGGACTCAGGATCCCCGCACCCGAACTGCTCCCCCTGTGGGCTGGTCTTCAGCAAGACCAGGGGTGGAAGCCACCTCCTCCATGAAGCCTCCCTTCATCCTTTACCTGTCCCCCTCCCCTTCTCCTCCCCTACCTCCTGGCCCCCCCAGGCAAGACCCTCCCCTCCTCTGGTGCCCAGAGCTCAAGGTTTGTTACCTCCCTTTTCACATCTAGATTTGGATTCCCTCCCGTGGATGAGGAAGCACTATAAGCAGTGGCCTTGAAGTTAGGAGACCTGAGTTCAGGTCCCAGCCTTACCATCCATTCTCTGAACCTTCATTTCCTGTCTTTTTTTTCTTTTTTAAACAGAGACTTAAATGTGTGTTCAGCTCAGCTGACAGGGAATCACATGGGAAGCTCTTTAGTTACTGTGATGGACTGTGTACACATGAGGGGCCAATTGTTTGAGGTCTGGGAGGGCTTCACAGAGATCATTGAGACAGGGGTACGGGTGGCCAAGGGAGGGGCAATGGCTTGCGCACAGGCACAGAGGCCTAAGAGATCCCTTAGGGAAACAGGGCAATTCAGGGTGACTTAAGTGCAGGAGGGGGAGGTGGGGCTTAGAGCAGACTTCTGAGGTCAGCAGGGGATAGATCATGCAGGGCTGTGAGGGACTTCGAAGGAGCTTATTATACTGAGGGAAGAGACGGGGCATTGGAGAGTCGACATAGTCAGATTGGTGCTTTAGGAAGATCACTCTGGTTCCATAGGGGCAGATGGTCCAGAGGGCAAACTTGAAAGCAGAAGCTGGACTGACCTGTGACCTCAAGACAGGCAGGAACTAGACTCCCTTTCCCCTCAGTGTGGTTTCAGCTGCAAGTAGCAGCCCCCCACCACCACCACAGAGTTCTCAGGCTTCTGAGTCACCTCCTTAGGTTCATGGTTGCCCTGAGGCCAGGTCAGCCTCATTCCTCTGTCCTAATTGCTTCCTCTCAAGGGAGCTGGCCCCCTCCACCCGTCCTTGAGAAAGCCCTTGCAAAAGTAATTGAGCGTTTCAGGAGGAAGCAGGCACCTCCAGCTGCCACTGCACCTGCCCCCCCACTCCCCGCCCCGCCCCGGACTCCCTGCAGAGAACAGCTCTTCTCTGGCTTTAGGGGGGGCATTCTGAGAAAAACACTTCACCACCAATTCCCATCCCCACCCCACCACATTTGGGTCAGTGTAGGGTGTCTCAGGGCTCTGGGCTCTTGTGGATGGTTCAACAGTGTCTGCAGTACACAGTACCCTTGACCAGGAGGGCAGGTAGAGGCCGAGATCCAGGCTGGCTGCCACTTGCCAAGCTGTGCATCGTGGCATGACAAGGCTGTATTTGTTCAGAAAAGGAGTATATTTTTCTCATTAGCCCAAAGGTGCCATCCATTGGCCGAGCTGAATGCTTATGGGACTGTTACACTCAAAAGGGCACCTTTTCCTAATTCGTGCAAAGAGCCCCAGATGGACTACTTGTAATCCTGGCTCTCAGCCTCTCTCCCCGCTGCCCACTATCCACTCATTTGGGCTCTCACGATGCCTTCCACTGGACACAAGGAGAAGCTGAGTCCAAGGTCTCCTGCCACTAGCTCCCTTATGGGGGAACTGCTCTGCCCACAGACCCCGCAAATCAGTTCTGGTCTGGCCATTGATGAACGGACCATAGGCTCCCACCAAAAGCTAATCAGATTCTTTCTCTTGAGAACTGGATTAAGAGACACAGAAGGGAATTGTCAGTCACTGGTGAGTCTGGATACAGAGTTGGAGATGCAGCTACTTTGTGTTGGGAATCCACGGATGTCTGAAGAGAAATTAAAGAAGAGAGCACAGGTGTGAATGTTGCCAAAGGGATGAGAACCCGCAGGCCCAGAGATGAGAGGACAGAGGCCCCATTGACAGTCCCAGTTCTCCTGAGGCCCAGACATTCTTGAATTTCCATCTCTAGGGTCCCTTGTAATCTTCATCCCTTTCTTTGAACTAGCTCGTGTGGGTCTCTGTTCCACGTAACCTAGAACAAGGACCTCAGCCCCAAGGAGGATGCTGAGGTTCCCCCCTCAGGCCTCTCTTCCCCCTCTGCCCTCACCCCAGCCCTATCTCAGCTTAGGGAAGAGAAGGAGCCCTCGGTACGGTCACACCTTTTATTCACTGTCAGTGAAAAAAAAAAACAAAAAACACCACACAGCACAGGGTCGAACACTGAGGACATTCACTGCAGGCACAGCCTGGAGCTGCACATCTGAAGGGGACAGGGGGCCACGCTGGAGAATGAGTTGGGAGGCCCCCCTTCTGCCACCCAGCCGCCCCGCTTCTCCAGGCCTCCACCCTCCTGCAGCCTCCACCAAAGCAGAAAGGGCCATACACCCTGGAGGTCCAGTCCTGCCCCCAACACTCTGGCAAAGGTAAAAGAAAACGTTGAAAAGTTCAGAAAATAAATTCCATATTTTTCTGAGACTTTTCAATTGTATATTTGAATTATTTTTTTTTTCAAAACTGATGAATAAAATATGTAAGAAATGTATTCATGCCCCCACAGTGATCTCTAAAGTCAGCACAAAGCCTCACCCAGGGTGGATCTTCAGGAAATATTTGTTGCTTTAGTAAATTTTTGTGTAAAAATATTTAGTGTCAGCTTTCTACCCTGCCCAGCTTCTCTTCTCTCTCTCCTTCCCTTCTCTCCTCTCTCCTCCTTCTCTCTCTTTGCAGCAGGATGAATTTCTACCTCTAGGGACTCTGCCATTATCAGGAAAAGATTCAGTGCCTTTGCTTATGGGCTTCCTTTTTCTTAACTTTTGATTTAAACGTAAGTCATATAATCTTGAGTACAGCTCAGAAGACTAGAGCGGCCATCTGAAATTGCCCTCGTTGGTGACTTTTAGAGATAAGAAATAAGGGCCCCCCTTCAATTAGCCCAAAAGGATGAATAAAGACAGAATACATTTAGAAGGCAGATTTGGGGACCTTGTAATTCACAGAGTTGCTGCAAGAAGATACGGAACTTCAAAAGAGAGTTTGGATATTTCAGCATTTTAACTGTCTGTATATTTTTGTGTTTAGGTGAGTCGTACTTCAGTCTCTGCTAACCCGGTGCTCTGTGGCAAGTCCCTCTTAGCTGGGGCAGGGATGGGAGGCCTGCCTCTCTTCTCAAGGCAGGGCCGGTGCTCTACCACAGGAATTCCCAAGCACAGTCCCTGGGGACATCCAGGAGCAAGTGGGAGCAAGGTCTGGCCCGCCTGTGGCCCTTCCCATCAGCAAGATGGTGGTCCCAGTTCCCAGCCTGGCATTATGTGTTCACACTGCTGGGATGTCTGAGAATCTTTGGCCTGACCATCAAAGATCACCCATGGGTATATGTCCAGAAGCTTGGAGTGATCAAACATGCCTTCATGGGTAGGACTTGCCCACCATCTAGGAAAAAACAAAACAGTTCTCTCAGGGAGGAAGATAATAAAGACAGCGAAAGATGCTTCCCGGGTTGAGTCAGAGGTCTCCTAGGGCAGCACTGACCTGTTAGCAGAGCTGCCCAGAAATAGAAAATAAGACACTTGAAAATGTGGGGACTTCAGTCAAGCTCCTATTTCTTTATGGAAGACCACAGCCTCAGAAACTTCTTAGCAGGAAGCTTGTAAAAGACCAAAACCAACTTACCTTGTCCTACAGTCAATCTCTGTACAACTCAGAGTCAGAGGAATGAGCAGGGAAGACGCTCTGAAAGGAAGAAACCCTTGTAGAGCCCTGGGTTCAAGTCTTGGCACTGTGCCACCTCCTGACTGTGCTCTTGCACAGGGAACTCTACTCTGCCTCAGCTTCCACATCTGGACAAATGGAATGAAGAATCCTATTTCCCTAGGCTGTGAGGATAGAATGAGAGGGGTCAATGCAAGCCTTCGAAAGCCATGAAGTTCTCTGTGATTGTGAGTTAGGTTAGCGTCAACGTTGGGGGGATAGGAACCCCACTTTGTAAAAGCCTTCCACTGGAAGTCTCAGCTGAGCTGGGCTGTTGAGTCCCTATATACCTCTGGTGTGGACTGACAGCACAAGACACACTTAATGGCCAGCTCCTGAGAGCAATGAAACATCCCTTGAGACATTACTGGATAAAAACTTGCTGGTTACTGCCCAAGGATGTGAATTCCCCAGTCTTACCATGTGGCTGGTCATTGCCAGGATAAAAAGAGGGTGGCAACCCAGAGGACTTGCCACCCCGAAGGGCAGCAAGAAGGAAAGTCTAATAGAATTTGAGACCACAGGTCAGCATCCCCAAGAGTTTCCACCTGCAGAGAGGGAGGGCAGGTGAGCAATCAAAAGTAAGAGGTATGCTGCATCTCTTTCCTGAAGATACAATCGCACGGCCCCCAACCCAGCAATCATTCCCTGCTCCCACCCTGGGCTGACAACACCTGTGTACTAGACTATTTTCACCAGCAGTTCAAGAGAAAATCCACTGTCACTGCACATTGAAGCTAATTTCTGATTACAAGCACAGGAGAAAGTAAAGTGAAAGACTTGATGAAGAAGCAAGATTAATTTTCTGGCAGTCAAAGCACGCAGCTGTATAGCTCATGGATGCAAAATTGGAAAGCAGACATTGGAAAGCAAAGCCAGTGCACTTGGAAGATGATGAATTACCCGGTGGACTTAGGATTTGGGGTTAGAAAAAGCCTTTCAATGGAGCATGCCCAGCACATTTTTAGGCATTTGGTCCATAAATGCAGCCTGGCAGCCAAAACAGCGGCCGGCTGGTCCTCTTCTAGCTCCGTCTGCTTCTGTAGCAGTGAAAGAATAAGCCCATCCTTAAACTAGACCAAATCCAAATGTGGGAACTACACTTGTCTCACTCTTGGCAAACACTGTGTTCTCTGTTTCTGAAGTCAGCACCTAACCAGAATAAGTGCACAGCAGAGACGTGCTCACTGAATTGAAAAAGATCATTAAAAAGGAAGCAGCAGAAACTGCTGACTGTGACAGCTCAGGACTTAGCCTGATAAGAAAGTGTCATCTGGTAAGTTGGGTGATATTTTCTCTCTTTTTTCTCAGTTCTTTTTTCCTCCCGAAAATTAGCATTTTCTGTATTCATTTAATCATTTTACAAGAAACCGAGTAATATAAAGTATGTTTTACATATCCTCAACTAATAAAATGATTTTACCTCTTTTAAAGGGTACTAAAAATATAAGTATTACATAAATTTCAATTTTTCTTAAAATTCCCCCTGACATGGTTCCTAGACTTCCAAACACTTTTCATTTCATCCTTCTGCAGCTCTGTGTGGAGCTGAGCAGAAAGATTTAATAGTTCCTCTCAAACTAACCAGCCTCACCGCACCCTCTGCTCACCTGTGCTCAACATCCCTGTCTGAGACCCTGACCACTAACTACCCTACGAGCTGCCGGAGGGCACAGAATGAGTCTTGTAAACCACCATAGACTTAGCACCTAGAGGTGCCTGGCACTGAACAGGTGCTCAATAAATGTTAGCTGAAGAAAGGACTGAATGAACACTCCAAAGGCTGGGGCCAGAGGGGCCAGGTAGAGTCGTGGGGGCAGGACACAGACCACCTTTAAGGGATCTGGGTCCTCAGCAATGGACAGACCCAATTTGGCCCTTTAACCGGGGTCTGTGGGACCACATCCTATAAAGCACAATCCCAGGAAGAACAGAATTTCAAAGCAGAACCCAGCCCCCCTCCTTCACCCTGCACCTTGATGCAAAAACCAACTCCCCTATGCCCAGTGGATGTTGATTCTGGGCCAAGACTGGGGCTGGGGCTAGACCATAGGATACCTGAGGATCTGTCTCTATTCCAGAGTTAGGTGGTCCCTCAAGGATCTTAATTGAGGGGAGCAAGGACTTGGGCAGAGGGGTGGGTGGGCCAGAGAGTGAGGCTGGAGTCCCCCTCCCCCTGGGGAAGGGCCAGCCAGAGGTCACTGGGTTGGGAGGTGGCCACGCCCCTCCTGGCCAGGGGCCCTGCCCCTCACCAGCCTCTACTTCTGCATGTCACACTGCAGCAGCAGCACAATAGACGGGTCACTCTTGGCTGCCTCCTTGAACTCCTCCAGTGTAATCTGGTCGTCCTTATCCTGGTCCATCTTCTTGAAGATCTTGTCCACACGCTGCTGGGGCGTGAGCCCATCCTGGTTCATGCGCATCATGATCACAGTGCCCACCATCTTGTAGATAGCCTGGTGGGGCAAGGAGGGAGGTGTGAACACTCACAATGGGAAGGGAGGATGGGGGGTGAACGAAAGGGCCTGGGGGTGGGCATGGAGAACACTGGGAGATGTGAGGATACTGGAAGGTGGCAAATGGTCATTAAGACTGGAGATTTAATGAGCATCTCACACCAAACAAGTCTACTACCCAACTCTGCACCTCCAACCTGCTCGGGCTCCAGCATGCCCTGTCTCAGTGAACAGCAAATTCATTCTTCTAGATGTTCAGACCAAAAACCTTGATGCCATTCTCGACTCTCCTTTCCTCACACCCATATCCAATCTTTCAGCAAATCTTGTCAGCCTTAATTTTGTAATAGGTCCAATAACCAGCCACTGCCTACTACCTCCACTGCTCCATCGTTGTTGCCTCCATCCCCTCCTGACCAGACTGCTGTGGAAGTCTCCAAACTGGTCTCCCTACTTCTGCTGCCCTCCCACCCCCTATTCCACACAGAGAATAGAAAGAGCCCTTAAGGGCCTCCCATCTCACTCAGAAGAAAGTCAAGTCTCTACCCCAGACTATGATGCTAAGAGATGGACTCCTGGCTACCTATCTGACCCCTTTCCTACCACTCTCCCCTTGCTGACTTCTCTCCCACCACCCTGGCCTCCTGGCCACTCCTTGAACACTGAAAACACAGTCTAACCTCAGGTCTTGTTCCCCGTGCACAGATCACTCTTCCCCCAGACACCTACGTGGTTAACTCCCTCACCTTATCCAGGTCGCTGCTCACCTTTCACCTTACACAAAATTGCTTTTCCTCCATCGCTCTCTCCCCTCACTTTGCTTTACTTACCTTCTTCATAACACTGCCTGACACAGCACAAGTTTTGTTGTTAAATTTTCTCACTAGAAGGAATGTCCCATGAAACCAAGAACTTTGAACAGTGCCTGGCACGTGGCAGGCACTGAGTATACATTTGTTGAAATGATAATGAGTTAAGAACTTAGACTCTGGAGTCAGACTCCTTAGACTGGAATCATGAACCGCCACTTGATTCATCTCCTCATCCGTAAAATGGGATTTCTAACAGTACCTACCCCCTGGAGTTGCTGGGTAAAGCACTATAGCACGAGACCTGTCCCACACTGAGCGCCCAACCAAGGCTACCCACTGGATCCTGGGAGGAGGGAGGAGGGGTGTGGTGGGGTGTCCCGAGGTGGCTCCCGAGGCCTGAGTGGAGGATGGCTGGAGAGGGCGGTGCCAGAGAAGGGCCCCGCAGCAAAGACAGGTAGCGCGTCACCCCAGGACACCCCGGTCTCTGGGATCTGCCCCAGCGCACCTCGATGATCTCCAGCATCTCGAGGCGCGTGATGCGCCCGTCGCCGTCCAGGTCGTACATCTCAAAGGCCCAGTTGAGTTTCTGCTCGAAGGTGCCGCGGGAGGTGACCGAAAGGGCGCAGATGAACTCCCGGAAGTCGATGGTGCCGTCGCCGTTCTTGTCGAAGGTGCGGAAAGCGTGCTGCGCAAACTTGGAGGCGTCGCCGTAGGGGAAGAACTGAGGCGGGGACACTGGAGTTGTGGCACAGCAACAGCCTCGCAGAGTGCCTGGCCCCGCCCCCGCCCATCCGGCCCGCCCCCCGGGGTGCCTGGCTCCGCCTACCTTGATGTAGAGCTGCTGGAACTCCTCCAGGTTGAGGATGCCGCTGGGGCAGTCCCTCAGGAAGCCCTTGTACCACTGCTTCAGCTCCTGCTCACTGAACTCGGTGTTTTGAACCAGGTCGTCCAGCACCTCTGGGGCCAGCTTGCTGTTGGTCTTCCCCATGGCAGGGCCTGAGGGGACAGGGAGCTCCCTCAGTTTGGCCCAGGGCAAGGCCCTCACCTCAGCAGCCTTCCCCCAGGTCTCCGTAGGACAAGGCTCCCTTTCTCCACCACAGCGCCCTCCCATAACAAACTCCACATCCTCACAGCCAGGACCCCTCCTTCCATAGCAGGGTGGGTCCCCCTCCTCTCACCACCACCCTGGACAACCCCCAACTCCTACAGCTGGGCTGTGCCCTTTCACCACACCTCTTCCCATAGGAGCTCCTACCTCCCCCCCACCCCTTCCCCTACACACAACTGGGCTGGGGCTTCCCCTCATTACAGGGCCTCCTCTGTCTACAGCAGGCCCCGCCCCTCTGCTCACAGCAGGGTTCCTCCCCTGGAAACCAGGATCTCTAGCCTTCCAGCTCTCAGCGCCCTTCCTTCTCACTGACCAGTCTGCATGCTACAATCTTCATACTCTCCTCTCCTCTTTACACCTTCCATAGCTCCCTACACCCGAAGAAGAGAGTCTTAATCCTCCCCTTGCTATTCAGAGCTTTCCGCACTCAGCCCCTACCCACCTCTGCAGGCTCCTCTCCTGCCAGGCAGGTTCCTCACACGCTCCCCCTGCATGTCTCCCAAGCTCTTCCTCAAGGCCTTCCAGGCCACTCCAGCAAGAAACTTCTCTCCCTCCTTCCTCTGTACAAATAGAAGTCCTAGCTGGTAGCACTGATGACGCTGATTGCATTCTCCTTTTCATTCGTTCATTCGTTCCCTGAGCATTTTTTTTTTTTTTGCGGTACGCGGGCCTCTCACTGTTGCGGCCTCTCCCGTTG